AAAAATATAACAATCTTTTATTTTCTAATGTTTTAGAGACGACAAGGAACGTAAAATTCAAATATATTATATATTTTCCTTATGTGAACTAAAGAGTTATTAACCAAATACATTCATTTAATAGAGAATGGCAACACTGTCCACACAGCGAGCAAAATTGCCAGTATACGATATCGTTTCAATCTAATATTAAGTAATCTAAAAAAAAAACATCTCAAAAAATGCGGTACAATAGAATACAATAAAAAAATAAATCAATCAAATGTATTGATGAACAGACAACAGAGTTCTTAACAAAATACATTAATTTAATGGAGAATGGCAACACTGTCCACACAGCAGTGTTCGATGTTGGAATAATATTGTTTTCTTTTTTTTTTTTACTTGTTGACTTTTTTAATTCGCAACATATAAATAGGCTCTTAATTATCGATAATTATCAACAAATCGATGCATTTATTTCAAAAGTAATTGGAACAACCAACAGTTGTTTTCTTTCTCTTTCTTTTTTTTTTGTTTTTACCATATTTTTATTACATTACAGTTGTACCACCACAAGAATGTGTTAATTGTCTTCTTATGTCATCTTTCGTTCTCTATGATATGATACATACATTTTTTTGTGCCATAAACTAAACCAACAAAGTACAGATCAATAAATAGTTTATGGTACTTATTGATTATTTTTTATGTATTTACATAATTCATGAAAATGTGGACACGTAATGCAAATCGATAATTATAGACGAATCGATGAATCAGTGCATTTACTTCAAAAATAATTGCAAAAAGAGTTGTTTTCTTTCTCTTTCTTTTTTTATATTTAATTTAACATTGTTTTAGTGGTACAACTGTAATGTAATAATTACAGTTGTACCACTAAAATAATGTTAAATTTCTTATAATCTCATATAAAGTGTATTGTCTATGATATGATACATTTTTTTTTTGTTTTGTGCAATAAACTAAATAACACAGATCAATAAATGGTTTATGGTACGAAAAATGTATTTCAAATTACGATTTAGATATAATTATCAATATAAAATACATACATATGTGTAATGTGATTGTTTACCTCTTTTAGTTTTTAGTATTTAACTTTGGCAAAAGAACTTTACGCCGAGCCATCAATCGTCGTCCGACTCAACAGACAGAGGACAGAGTATACATATGTATGTAGTATAGAAGAAACAAAAAAAATGTCGTTGGTCTGTGACTGTCAAGTGAGTGAGTGAGTGTGCGCGCGAGTCGGTCGCCATGTGAATGTTTTTTTTTTGTTTGTTAATGAATAATATATACTAAGTACTGTATTCGTTTGTGCTTACATGTCCACATATGCATGTCGATGTGAAAACAAGAAATGTCCTCCTCGTATCACAGCTACTGATCCTGATGATGAGATGAAAAGGAAAAATCTACACCTATGTAGGTGACGCCTAGGTAGACATTTTATTTTAACTGTTTCACGTCTTCTTTTAAAATGCAACGCTATATAAATACTAAGTGCCTTCTGAGTGCATAGAATACAATTTATTTGCTTCATAACATAAATTGTGCAAGATTTGTTTGGTGTTTGTCACAAAATGCAAGCTTATAGGGGTTATATGATTTTTGCATCACTTTTTTATAACTGTTTCCTCATATATGTGTACATTGATATGCCAGACAGTGCATCCCAAGCTTGTTTTGTTTGTTTGTTTGTTACGCAAGCTGTTCTTGAACTCTTGATGAACTACTCTTATTCATTCAGTGCTATTAAAGCCAAAAAATGATGTGAGTTTGCTTCTTGGAATTTGATATAATTTCTTTAAGGTCCTGCCGCCTGCCGCCTGCCGCAATCGGAGAGCGACCATCGTAATAAGTTCAAGTACCAGATGCTGCAACCACAGGACACAGCTTCAGCCAACACAACACACATATCTCCCTCCTGTCACCGTGATGAAAAGTCAGTAACTAACTACATATATATTAAATTAACTATAATGGAATGTTTCAATCGCGCCAGGTAGCTACAGTGTTATTAATCCACATCCACTCACTTCACTAACAATATAATATAACAATATTATTGCTTAGGTTATGTATGTCTCGATGAGTTGCTTTTCACACTGGCCATGGTGCTTGCCGTTCATGTAAATAAATATGTTGGTGGTATATATAGTATATTCTTGTGCTGGTCTGTTTATTAAATAATATAGGGTAATGTTATAGTTTTATTTGTGGATGTGTCCTGTGATTTCATTCTGTATGAGTATTTCATTAATATATGTACAGAGTATATACATACATAATCTGCAGAACACAATATTTTTGAATGATGATTATTGATATTCAACCAGTAATTGGTACAACACAACTTCTTATAATAGAAAATATATTACAATTATTAAATTATAAGTGACAGTGGCCTTAAGCTTTAATTACATACCAAGTTTTGGTTAATTACAAATCAATATATTATTTTGCATTATTATTATTGCATTAGAGGGGTAAATTG